TATATATATATATATATATAATGTGATCATGTACCACGTTACACGTACAACTATTTATGTGACTTTCCTAGGATGAAAGTTTTCGGTTTCAACCAAAATTGTAAAAATATAATCGAATATTTGTTTCGATCGGATTTTATAAAATTGTAATTTTATATAGCACTATAAAAAATAATGTTTTTATAGTCTTAGCGTTTGAAGATAAAGAGAATAAATCAATCGGATACGAAAAGATATCTATATACTTATTTAACATGGATAATACTTATTAAAACATTTAATATATGAATAATGCATGAGTCGATCAATGAAGCAATCGCTGGTGTCCTTTCATACTTCATTTTTAAATGATTGCCGCGATTGGTTTGCACAAATGAGGATTATTGTAATAAGAGAAAGTTGTTAATCGATTGATTTTAAAATTTAGCATAAAATATTAACTATTGGAAGATTATTTTAAAATTTAAATCACACATAAAGAATTGATTACATATATGTATTAGACATTAAAAATAGAAGCAATCTAATTTTTATAATTTAAAGTAGTGGAATTTGGTTCTTTAAAATAATTTTTTAAGTACTAATTTCATAAAATAAAGTATGATTAAATAAAACTTATAAATAGCCAATTTATAGAATATAATATTGCGGATTACATATTATAAAATTGGAATAATCAATAAAAATAACAATAAATAAAAAAATTATGTCTTTGAAGTGACTTAAATATTATTCCCTGATACTCAGAAACTTCGTACCTCTATCCCGAAGATATGGGGGTAGTTTATCCTTCCGCATCTCCTTACAATGTCGCTTATCGCAGGTGGATGTTGCGTTTGTCACAGTGACTTCCTTCACTTCCGTCAAATCAGGTTCAGCCATTTCTGAAGTTTACTCTTTATATTTTTATTCAAGAATTCAGGCGTTAATTATAGTTTAAATCACTAATTTTAAATCACTAATAATTGTTTGCAGACAGATCGCTAGTGGTCACCATCACGATTATTCTCATGTCAATAATCACATGTTGAGCTCGTTCATTGACACGTTTCTTAGTTTCGAAAAATATATTTCTTTTTATGCGTCAGATTTATGATCCACAGCCTGACGCAACTCGATGTAAAAAAATTCCATTCATTTCTATTCAGCGATCATTTCTTAATCGGTAAGATTTTCGCAAAAATACATTAATTTACTCGTCGTGGTGCTTTCGCGTTTTCTCATTTTGCCCGTCAAAGACAGAATGCAGGAAAAATAACATGCCTTATCTACAGTTTCTTCCAATGGTTATCTGGTAATCAATGCTAGGCTTTAACGTTCATGTTTAAAAGTTGAAATACGCGAAGTTCTATGTACACTTGATAATCTTTAAGATGTCAGTGATTTTATATATATGTTAGTTAGCAGGACAGCTAAAGTTATTATTTCGCAAATTTATTATTTTGTAACAATCATTAATTTGTTTTATTTTGAAATCGATATTCTTGCATTAAGAAGATTGATTTTCTGTGATTAATTTGTATAATTATTTATAAAATATTATGCTTCTTCATATAAAATAATTTTTAATTAAAAAAATATTTATTACATTTAATATATTTTTATTTTTATTTTACACACGTTACATTAAAATATATTACTTTATAATGCGTGTTAATTTATGTGCGTTTATTTTATAAACATATTCTTTAGAATAGCTTTAGCATTATATAAATTAAAATTGCGTTCATTCATTATATTAGACACTTGTTCATACGTTTAGTACATTTGTATATATTCCAAATATTTATATTAATCACATCGAGTACCGCGAATGTTTGTAAAGGTAACAATGCTGTTTGTACTTTCATTGACTTGCGATAACTGACAGACTGCCGTCAGACGTGCAGCGAGAAATAATAACCTTAACTAACACCCCCGAGCTGACTCAACTTAACACACCGCGCGAGCACCCTACATAGGGTGGCTTAAAAAGAAAACACAACAATTTCATTAATTAAATTGTTGCATTTTATATGTCTGCTCTTATTAATTACCATTAAAAACTTTCAATAAAAAATAGTCTATAACTCGATGGAAAATTACATTCAAAATAACTAGCTGTTATTTTGAATATAATTTCCTGTTGAATTAAATATTTCTGTGTTCAATATATATTCTTTTCATATGTTTATAATTTTCAACAATTTATATATTTAAATTAATTTTGAATGTTTAAATAGGGAGACTTTATAATTTTTATCTTTTTTTATCAAGTAATTATTAAATTTTTCAAAGCTGTTTGAATGGTGAAATTCTTTAAAAAGATTAATCAATATACAATTAAAGAGATTTAAATTTCTAAGATTTTAAATATACAATGCAATTAATTAATTTATATATGTACTAGTATATTAAAAATATTATTTGATAGAGAGATTAATTATAATGAGACGGTTTATATTGAATGGATCACGGAAGAATTGTTTGTCTAATTGTTACAAGCGTACTGACAGCTTCGACGTGCCCGAATCATGCTTTTATACCTGCGTAGCACACATCTACTCTATATCTAAGCTATTGTATTCGGCACAGATGTGCGGAGTACGAATCGTCTTATCTTATAGATCAATCGGAGCTGCGCATCTTTGCATGCGTTTCGTGCTATTCTCGTGCTCGCTTTAAACTATTTTAGACAATCGGAAATGAAGTTGCGCTCAGGAATGACTTTAATCAAATTGTGATGGAAAAAAGAAATTGAAGCACTTGCATTTTTTTCTTTCAGAATGAGAAAAGAGACTACTTGATTATTGTAACAATATTTCGCAAACTTTTTCGTTAATTACAATATTGCAAAATTGTATTTATATTATTTATAATCTTATTATTTATATTATTTATAAAAACGGTAGTTACAGTTTATTGTTCAATAAGTTATTAAAAAAATTTATTATTAAAATGTCTGTACAAGAAATCGCAACATTTGGAAATGAATTAATTAAAATGTAATTTACGTTACTTAATACATTAAAGGAAATATAAAAATATTATATAATAAAAAATTTAATAAATCTCATGATGGTTTAAATTTCAATATTCATACTTCTTTACTAATGAGAGACTATTAGTAAGATATTTCAATCAGTTTTTTGCAATTTTTCATCATACATAGAAGAAAATAGTTCGATCATAAGTAACAGTTAGCTTTAACATCGAGAAGAACTATTTATAACTGACCGGAATAGTGTGCATATTTATGTACGATCCTTCCGCTCCATATACGATTAATGCATAATGCGCGTATTTAATTCTTTTCCCTATTAAAAAGTTCACCGTTATCAATTTTAATTAGATTCTTTTATATCGTTCTGAAATAAAGATATCAAGAAAAGATAATCATTTTTGTTATAAGATAATCAAATAAGTTATCCAAATTTAGAAATATTAAGAAAATATTGAGAAAAATTATAAATATTAATTAAGAGTTTTTCTTAATTTAAAACTTAATTTAAAGCAAAACTGAGTAACATAAGGGAATGACATTAAGAATAGATGTCTAGCATCGTAGAGATGTTGCACAAGTTAATAAACAGTTTCTATATAAAATCACTTACATAATGATAATTTTATATCATTAATATCTATGTAATGGCTGTGTTTCGTTGCACGCATAACGCACATGATGTATCATTTATTATATTATGTATTGTTTAACACTCTGCGAACAACAAGAATAAAATAACACCTCTTGTGCATTATGCGTGCAACAAAATGCAGTTAATAATTGTATATACTTAAGCAACGATTTAGACTAGATTTTGTTTCCATTATCTGGTTAACTCGTGGTTAAGCTTAACCTGATGTTTCACCCAATGGGCTATGATATCATCATAGATGAAGCCCATTGGATAAAACATCATTAAATTTAATCACAAGATAGATAGACCACAACTTAACCAGATAATGAAAACCCGGATCTTAGATAAGTATAATAAAAAGTGCTCGACGCTATTTGACTTTTCATTTTTTACTTTTTATTATACTTGAATAAATGCTTAAATGCGTACGGTTACTATTACATTGTTATCATTACAAATATGTAATCATAATTATCTTTTTCATATATACAATCACAGACTTCTATATATTATAGAATTATTAGATCTCTAGATTATTAGATCTCTATATATTAGACAGCAGTCTTTATAATAAAGTTATATTTAGTGTGGGATAAAAATCATATAATCAAAACGTAAAATCGTAAATTATGTAACAATTATCAACAGGCAACACTTCATAGATATTTTTCAATATTTTTATTTAAAAGAAATAATATTATCTTTTATTTATTTAAATTAAATACATATTTTACTACGCATGGCATATTATTTTTACAATGTTTTTAAATATCAGTAGGTATGGCTACCAATAATACATTTTATCTTGAATTATTAGGTATTAATGTAATATATGTATAGAAATCTATGCAGACATTGTCAAAGTATTCGATGACAACTGCTGACGAAATAAGTACAGCGAGAAAACCAATCGGCATTGCGGAAAAGAGACAACAATAAATTTCGACACATTTAAGTATCGATTTAACCTTTGCCTTTTTTTAAAAGTGAAAAACTCAGCTATTCTGTGATAAAGGGTTCATGCATGTAACATTCACGCATTATTTTTAATTTAAGATTATTTCTAAGAATATCGAATCATGTACAATTAAAATATAATATTTTCAGAATTTTCTGCATGACACATGACTTTAAAAGATAAAAAATTTCTATCAGATTATTATTTTCCAACCTTCTGCTCGAGCAGAAGATTCAATTAAATGATTCGGTCGGTCGATTCATAGTGCATGTAGGGGATAACAAGGAAACCGAAGAATACTTAAAATTGATTTCCTTGCCGTTCTCGTGGTCGAAATAAATCGAACTTCTTGCTTGTTCCTAATTGCCAATTTCCTGATCATTCTTCACGAGTCCGTGTTCGAACGAGTCTAAGTTCAAGTTCGCATTTTGAAATAGACGTGCACTCTGCGTGCCTTATACGCGAGAATGCACCATCGAGGTGTTAATGCAGCTGTCTGCATATGTGTGCGGTATCTGTACTGACTGGTGAATATGAAATTGGACAGCTAAAACCGTGTGGCGTAGTACCAGGAGCCGTGCAATGCATGCGCACGTGCGAGAGCACCGGAACGAACGAGAGGTGAGCTTAATGATCGATCAACTCTGCATGGATTACGTCAGGTAAGGCGAAGATCATATATTTCGGACAGATGATCGATTGTTGACGTACGTCTTGGAAAATGGAAAATTTTCATAAGGGAGAACATATGATTCTTTCTCATAATGTGTAATGTTTCTGAAGCTCGTGTAATTCCAAGTGCAAGTGTTATTTAAATCTTAGAAGACAGAATATTTAAAATAACATTAAGAATTCTAATTATGACATTCATTATCATGATACTCGATACCTTCTGTAACTAATTTGTGAGTCGACAGTATTTTAAAAGGCCCAATGCGAGTACTAATTGCGATTCTTACATAATATTTCAACCATAAACATTTAATACAAGTAAAATGCCTACATGAGCTTCCGCAGATGTTGGTGCGTAAATTAAACATTAATAATACGATACAATTCTCAATTAATAATGAAATACAATTCTCAATTAATTGGGATATACTTATCAAATAAAATTAATTAAAGTAAACTTAAACATTTCTACTCTGAATTGAGTAGAAATCCTCTTCAGTGCAGAAGTCAAGTACAAATTAGTTGCGATCGCGTTATAAATATATAATTTATATACACCAACATCCGCAATCTCCGCAGAGGCTCTTATCCATATAGGCATTTCATTTATATTAGATTTAGTCTTGGAGTCACGAATATTATATATTATTTTATTAAATAATACTATATTTTATTTTATTTCAATAAATATATGAATACTATGCTCCAACGTTTGCGTTTGACTCTCATTAGATAATTTTATCCTCTTCTTTTAGAAATCTTAATTTCAACAAATTCATCCATTAATTTTTGAATTTTTGGATTCTGCTATTTCTAAGAAAAAAAATTTCAAGGAGAAATATAAATCATATATAATAGAAAGCAGAATATTTTTAAAAGTGGAATTAAATTAATTTAGAAACGTAAGTATTCTATCAAATTGATGTACTATCTAAAAAAAATTTACATTTACTTAATTCCTATTTATACAAATTTAACAAATGTAAAAAATTGCATATCATTTTTTAAAATCTTTTTTTGTTTTCTAGGATACGTTAAAATCTTTATACTGTAAAAATTGATTACACATGAAAAGAATAATTTTGCTAAAGTATCTAAAAATTTATTTAAATCTAAAATAAATTTGTCGAATCTTTAAAACAA